CAAAATTTCTCCTTCTAATAGCCCCAAAGCAATTCCGGCAATTGGCCTTTGCAGAGGAACCCCCGCGGTCATTAAAGAATTAGTAGCGGCTAAAAAAATCACATTTTCGCGCGGCGAAAAACCGTCTAACTCGTTTAATAATTGATTGAGGGTTTCGTGGTGGGAAGATATTGAATGCTGCCGCTTGCCGGCAATGGCGTCAATTTCATCCACAAAAATAAAGCAACCGCCTTTTTCTTTGGCGTATTTGCGAGCGGTGGCAAAAGTATTACGAATGTCGGCGGCCCCTCAGCCCACAATTCCTTTTTCAAATTCCGGAGCCGAACGATAAATAAAAGGCAAATTACATTCCCCGGCTAGGGCCTTGGCCAATAAGGTTTTGCCGTTGCCCGGCTGCCCGACTAATAAAATTCCTTTGGGGATTTCCGCCCCGTGCTTTCAAAAAACTTGCGGATTATGAAAATAATCAACTATTTCTTGTAGTTCTTCCTTGGCCTCGTATAAACCACCAATATTTTTAAACCTTACGGAGGGACTATCCACTAATTCGGTTCCGCGGTGCCGGGAACGCGAAAATATTCGGCTAATAATTGGGCTACCAATCATTAAATCAAAAATTGCCAATACGGCTAGAGCCACTAAAATTTGCCTTACGAAGTCGGGGATTTTTTTTTTGCTGTGCAGCCAACTTCTTCCTTCCGGAATGACTAATTCAAAGGGCCTTTCTTTATTTTCTCAATCAATAACTAATTTATTTTCTTTATCTAAGCAAACTTCTTCAATCTCCTCGGGTTTTAGTTCGCTGATGGCGTGGTAATAAGTAGGAAATATTTTATCTGACCATTTTTTATTTTTAGCCTCAAAAAGATATTCCGTTTGTCCCCAATAGTCCGGAGCAATTTTGGACTTTTTGCTAAAATCAATGTTGTCGTAGTCTTCTTTTTTTAAACCAGTGACTAATATTTTATCGGTCTCTTTTGCTTTCACAAAACGAAAGCATTTCCGATTATCACGTAAAAGTCAACTAAATAATAAAAGCAGTAAGGTAGATAAGATTAGGAAAACATAAAAAGGATTATTCTTGCTTCAAGTTCAAAGAGAAAATTGTGGTTTTTTTTGCTTGGTGAGGATTTCTTTTTGGTTCATTAGTTTGGTGGCTGGCTTATAATAATTTTTTAAAACCCAGGCTAAGTTTATTGTCTTTTTAAAATTGCTAAGGGGTAGTTTTTTTGAATTTGATAATTTTTATTAAGGATAATGGTTAAAGTTTTTTTGGGGCTTTCCAGTTGTTTTTGGGCTTCTCGGCAAATATTTTTTTTTCGATTCACGAACTCTTGATGGGTATTCTTGTTTATTCAATAATAAAGTAAACGTATTTTTAATTCTGGTGAGTTTTCTTGTCAAGCATTTAAATTTAGCGTGGAGTTATTAATGACTTCTTTGATTTTTTTTTGCAAAAGCATTTTGGTTTGGCGTAGTTCTTGATTTTTTTGGCTAATTTCTTGGGCTAGTTGGACTTTTTTTTCCGCCGAAAAACTGCTTATTGCTTGGCGAATAATATTACGTTGATAAATTGGTAAATAATTAGTGTGGTCCAAAAAGTAAGGAATATGGTTGTGCTGTAAATATTGGTAAATTTGGGCTTTATCCAGGGGAAGCAAAGGACGCAAAATATAAATATTTTTTCAGCGGGTTCGGGGGGATAATCCTCAATATTCTACTAAGGATTTTCTTTGTTTTTGGAGTAAATAAGTTTCCAAATGGTCGTCTAAGTGGTGGGCGGTAATTACATACTTGGTTTGCTCTTGCTGAGCTACCTTTTGAAAAAAATCATAGCGCTTGTGGCGGGCTCAGGCTTGGAAATTTTGGCCTAATGAATATTCGGCCGGATTAACCGGGCAAACCAAGCAAGGCAAATTTCAAGTTTGACAATATTCTTTGACTAATTTTTCTTCTTGGTTACTTGCTTCCCTTTTGTGATAATTTACATGGGCGACCGCCAATTTATATCCCCGCTGCCGCAAATTAGCTAATAGAAACATACTATCCGGACCCCCGGAAACAGCCAAAATATAAAAATGCTGGCGGGGGAGAATTTTTTCATTCAACATTAAAATTATATTATATGAAAAGTTTTACGCCACAAGTTAATAAAATTATCTATTCATTATTATTAAAAATAAAGAGAATTATTGTTCGTTTAAACTTTTTTCTAGTTAAATATTCTGCTTGAATTTCCATGCTGAAAAAACGCAAGGTTGCCAACCAATGGCAAAATTCATTTCTTTATAATTAATTAAAACTTAAAACTTGACTAATATAGTCCGGAGAGGAGAACAATCTTCGTTAAGCAATTTTCTGCTAAACCTTTACCATGAGGAATAAGTTCAAAAAAATATACAAAATATACATTAAAACACATCAAATCTATAATTTATGCATCCCTATTTAATATCTTTACTTATTTTACTCGGAGCCACGGCTCTAACTTGAACTAATTTAGCGGTCAAAGCAATTGGAATATTTGATATTATACCAAATATTTTCCGCACCGCCCAGGACAAAATTTTTAGCATTGAGTATGGTAATGGACTAGGCATTATTGCTTTTGCTTTCCTCATTTACGCTCTTATTGAGAGCAAAGTGCTACAAAGTTTTTTTGTTTCTACTGCTCCGGAAAAATGAAAAAAAAGAAGAAACTGGGTGATGATTTCCCTTACCATTACTGTTTCGCTTTTAACTACCTTTTTATTTTGATACGATGAATATATTCATTTTTTTCCTTTAATTATTCCTTTATTCTTAACTATGGGATTAGACGGATTTAGTTCTTTTCTTTGTTTATTTGGGGGAGCCGCGGCGGGACTATTGTCCTCGGTTTCTCCGCTTCAGCAAACTTCTACTACTAACCATATTAATGCGGAGTTAGGAGGAAGGACTAATTTTAAAGGAACCGACGGAATCGGCTTTCGTCTAATTTGTTGATTAATTTTTACCACCATTTTTGTCCTTTTTAACTTGTGGTATGCTAATAAAATTTACCGCCGTTCTTCATCGGCAAGCCCCCCCGAAAAAACTAAATCTTTACCCCAAGAAGTTAAAGCGGCTCCGAAACTTAGCCATAGAATTAAATGAACTGTTATAGCGACCTTTGGATTTTTCATAGTAGTCGGTTTTCTAGCCACGATACCTTGATTTGCTGATAAGGAAAAAGGGTTACCCAGCAAAACAGGCTTTACCTGATTAGCTAACGAAAGAAAAGAAGGAGAAAAGTGAAAAGACAGGCTAAGCAGTTCTTATCCAACCGGCATAAAGAAAGGGCCTTATCCTAGCGAAGAAACTTACCAAAAAGTTGGCACTACCGATAAGGAGGCTATTACTCATAATCCCAACGACAAAGGGCAACCCCAATTCATGGCTAAGGTTGATAACACGGCCACCGCAAAATATTGACCAAAATTCGGTAATTGAGGTAATTTACAAGTTTATAGTTGATTTATAGTCGGAGCAATAATTATTTGCTTATTAAGTAAACAAAGCATTGTTAACACTTTAATTGCCACCGGCAAAAAAACCTTTCCGATTCTAGTGGGCTATACTTTATTAGCCACCACCGCGTTTACCGTTAAAGAATCGGGGATACCCAAAAAACTAACTAATTTACTTTTATCGGAAAAAGTAACCCAGCACGCCAATGTTTTGGCCTTGTTTGGAGTCTTTTTTTTGATTTTCTTAGTGGTGTTAATGCTGGGTACTCATGGGGGAGTATGATTGGCCTTGATTCCCACTTTGTATGCGATTTCACCTAATACGGCTTTATATGCGGCAATGATAGCAAGTCTAGCGGGTATGTTAGCCATGTTTATTCGCCCCGACCCAATTCTAATGAGCGGTTTAGAAGCCAGCGGGAGTAATTATAAAGAGTATCTGAAAAAAACTTGACCCCTATGAACCATTATTTTTTTAATTTCTCTGCTGTTGGTCGGCGGGTGTGCTTTCTACTGTACTTAAAAATTATGAAAACAAGGTTAAAATTAAAAATGAAAAGAAATACAAACAATTATGAATAAAATGGAAGAAAAAGAAAAATTAAACCAGGCTTTAAAAGCAATGAAAATACAGCAAGATTTTAAAGAAACCAAAAAAATACTTGCTTCTCATTCCGGATTTAAACGAGAGAAGGAAGAATTTGAAGAGAGTATTAATTACTATATCCACTTTCAGGGCAAACTAGCTCCACTACGCGAAGTAATTTGTTATTCTGGCCCCCCCGGCACGGGAAAAACAACCTTTGTGCAAACTTTAAGTAAGGCCATGGGGCGCGAATTAGAGCCAATTCCTTGTGCGGGGTTAGTCAATCCCGAGGAATATTCTATTTTAGGCGACCAACACAAGCCTAGTTTAGTAGCCTGGGCAATGCTAAAAAATGGTTGTAAAAACCCCATTATTTTGCTGGATGAATTAGAAAAAGTAACGGATGAAAAAATTCAAGCGGATTTAATCAAACTTTTTAAAGCGTTTAAAGAAAAAGGAAGTTATAAAGACCCTTATTTTGATGAAGAGATAGATTTAAAATATATTAACATTTTTGCCGCCGTAAATTATGACCAAAAACTAGCTACTAAATTAAAAACCGAGGTGGATTTGAAAAAATTATTAGGTTATACGGAAAAAGAAAAAAAAGCTATATTAGAGTTAAAAAAAACCGAAATGCAGGCCATTTACCAACTGGAAAAAGAAGAAATTGAAAAAATACTTTCGGAAGAGATTTTGAACTTTTTGATTAATACTTGAATTCAAGAAAAAGGAGTACGCCAATTAGAGCAGGCTTGCCATAAAATTATTGAGGAACATATTGCCGCTAAGCAGACTAACCGGCCAGCATTTCAAGGAGATAAACAGTGCTGAATAGAAAAAAATATTTTGCCTTTTCGGGAAAGTCATAAATTAAATTGACGGCACCATTTACTTTTTACTTCCCTAGGCCTAGGCTTAATTTTGTTAATTACTTGAATATTTACTAGATTTTTATTAAAGCCGGCCAAAAAAGAAATCCGGGAAAAACAAAGGAGGGAAGATGAATAGAATAATTGAAATTATTGAAAGAGAAAAAATAGTAAAAAAACACCGCCGCCAGGCGGCCGAGGGCGGATTTGAAGCATTTAAAATACTTGGATTTTCCAAAGCAGTTAAAGAATATTGAGAAAAAGAAAACATTAAATCAGTTGAATTATCAGAATTTCCTAATAGTTTAGCAATAGAATTTAATGACAAACCAGGAACTTTTCATGCCCGTTCGAATAAAAATCCTGAACTAGAAGAAATTGAAAAATACCTAAAAGCAGGTACAAACAAATTGACTATTGAACCAAGGCAAAACCACGACTTTTCTCGGGTTCACTTACTAGCCGGAGAAGAGCATAACCAAGAACTAACCCCCTTAAAAGAACAAATTAATTTAATTGATTTTAGTCAACATAACCACGAAGATCCGAAGTTTATAGAAAGCAAAATTAAAGAAATTTATAATAATCCGGCAAACCAAGAACTTATAAAAAAAGGAGAATTTCCGGTCCTTTGTTTTAAAAATATTGAAAAAATTGGGTCAAATCAAGCCTTAGAGGAAGCTTTATTACCGGTATTTGACCAGCAACAAAATTCTCAATTATTTAATAAAGAAATTGATTTAGCAAAATTTATTTTAATTGCGACTACTTCTACTCACGAAACAGAAAAATTATCCGCTCCTTTACTTTCGCGTTTAGATTGGGAAAATGCGGACACTGCTCAGCCCAAAAAATTTTTCTTGGATAAATATTATTATTGATTTTTAGTGCCTTCCTTACTAATTAATTTGGTTTTATTAAGCGTGCTTTTATTGCCCAAATTAAAAAGAGTCCAGCAAAGCAAAAAGAAACTAGATAGTTAAAGGTAAATTTCTCTTTTTAGTGAATAAAAAGTTCCACGAAAGCGAGAGCCTAAACTAGACGGAGAATGGTTTTTATTGTGGAAAAAAATACAGAAGCCTGTTTGCTAAATGCCGCCAAAAAAGAAAAAATTACTTTACTAAGGAATAATTTGCCTAGTAAAAATTAGAATATGTTAGTTGTTAATGATTGATGAGAAAAAAAGAGAAAAGAGGTACAAAAAGCAGTCGGAGAAAAGTTTCACCACACCTCACCAATGCAAACTACGGATGTGGAAAAAATTGTCCTCAACAGTGGAGTAGGTCAAGCCGCCGGTGATAAAAAATTTTTAGAAAGCACGGAAAAAGTAATTCAACAAATTGGGCAAGGACAAAAACCCGCCCGAACTTGTGCTCGGAAGTCCGTGGTTACTTTTAAATTGCGCCAAGGAATGCCGATTGGTTGTCGGTCTACCCTAAGAAAAAAAAGGGCTTGGAACTTTCTTTTTAGTTTGATTAATTTAAGTTTGCCGCAAATTAAAAACTTTCAAGGCTTATCAACTCAAAGTTTTGACCAACGGGGTAATTACAATTTAGGAATTAATGATTTAAACATCTTTTTGGAAACTGACTATGATTTAACTTTTAAAAATCAAGGTTGTCAAATTACCATTGTTTTCACTTCTTCTTCCCCGGAAGAAAATAAGTATTTTTTAGAACTATTAGGATTTCCTTTTCGCAAACAAGTAACCAAGACTTAAATTAAAAACAAATTATTAGTTTTATTATAAATAAAAAGAAAGCGATTACTACGCTTCCCCAAATACTAAAATTTATTATAGAAAACATTATGAAAAAAATTTATTCATGTCAACACCAGAAAAATGCTAACCACTCTTGTTCTATCTGTGCTGAGGAAAGAAATGTTTACCATTGTAGCCAATGCCAATGAAACGGGAAAAAGAAGCAATTAACTTCCAAAGGGAATTGTCCGCAATGTGGTAGCGAAGAAACAACATATGCTAGCCAAATCCATAGTGCCGAGTTATGTACTTCATGTGAGAAATGTAACAAAAAGATTAGTAGCGGAGAATACATTGACGAAGGAAATAAATATACTGAGAAGTGAATAGAAGCCCACGATTGCCAACCTAGTTCTGAAAAATTTACGGAAGATGAAGAGAGAGAGAGAGAGAGACGAAAATCAGGCGGAACCAGCCCAAGCAGAAAATAATTCAGCAAGAGAAACAGTTCAACCACCAGCCAAACCTAATTATTTAGCGTGAATATTAATAGGAGGAATTATAATACTAGGAATGGTTATTTATTTGGTCTACCGAACAAAAAATAATTAATTTTAATTTTTGCCTAAAAAAATTATTACTTTTCTAATTTGGCTTTAATAAGTTGAACGGCTTGGTTTAATTGTTGTTCGTCGTAGTGGTAAAGTAGAGCAAATCCGTTAGATTGTAAATCAATTTCTACTCCGGTTTCTTGGATTAAACGATTAATGGTTTTTCCTTGGCTGCCGATAATTAATCCAAACCGCTCCGTTCCGATAAAAAATTTTCTAAACTTTATGGCGTGAGTTGGCAATCCAGGGCTAATTTTTGGCAAATGTTTATTCATTTCGTAAAGCAAGTGAATTCTAGCCTTTTTGCCCAACTGTAAAGAATTTTGAAAAATTGGTAAAGAAATCCCCTGATTTTTTACATCTAATTGTAAAGAACAAATTCCTTTTTCCGTGCCCGCCACTTTAAAATCCATCTCTCCAAATTGGTCTTCTAAGCCATTAATATCTACCAAAATTTCTCCTTCTAATAGCCCCAAAGCAATTCCGGCAATTGGCCTTTGCAGAGGAACCCCCGCGGTCATTAAAG